AAACCAGAGACTACCCCACAGAAATTACTGCCTACTTGTTCCAAGCCAGAAACAAAACAAGCCAAAGCTCCTAACAAGTCTAAGCCAGAGGCTACCACACAGATATCTCGCCCTGCTACTTCCAAACGAGAAACAAAGCAAGCCGTAGCTTCCACCACGTCCAAGTCAGAGAGTCTCCCACAGAAATCACCGCTTTCTAATTCAAAATCAGAAACAAACCAACACAAAACTCCAACTGAGGCTTCTTCAGAGTTTCCCCTACAGTCATCACCACCTGCATGTTCAAAACGTGGAGCAAACTTATCTGAGCCGGTCACCACATCGACCACGGCTTCAAGTCAAGGTGGATGCGACAGTACACTGCAGACATCACTATTTGTCAGTGCAAAGCTAGAAGGAGAGGGACTCGAGGCTAAATGTCAATCTGACCCAGACAGTTCCCAACCACCAGCCAATTTAGAGTCAGAAATAAATGAGACTAGAATTCAGAGTACCCCCGATAGTGTCCCACAAACGTCTCTACAGGCCAGTGAAAATCCAGAAGACATGCGCACCAAGGGTCTGTCTAAGTGTACTTTAGACAGTACGCCAATGACCATCACGGCAAGACAAGATCGACAAAATATGCTGCCAAGAAGCGTGAGTGATAGTAGTTCTAGCTTGGTCAGTCGAGTTCCGGTGATCGTCACAGCGAGAGTAGATCGGCAAAATATGGTGTCAAGAACTGTACGTAGTTCTAGCCTGATCAGTCTGACCTCGGTCTGCGATCGCGAGCGCCGGACGACCTCTGACGATGCGGTCGTCGTCGTCGTCATCGGCGGCGACGAGGACTCGCCGGCAGACGATGCAGCAGACGATGGAGGACACCACCGCCCGCAGTCGCCGTGTTACTCTTCCCCGGCCGCCGTCGGAGCGACCGCAGAGATCCACGTCCATGCGACAAGTCGCATCCTGCCGAAATCTCCTCTGGAACGCAACCACGATGCCGCCACCGCCGTGGTGGTGCACCCCATGGAGGACGTCGCGGCGTCGTCTGGTCTTGACCGCTTGTCCCGTCCGGCGGCCGGCGTCTGTGATCTGCGGCCGGAGTAAATTACCCCACAGAAATTGCTGCCTGCTAGTTCAAAGCCAGAAACAAAACAGGCCAAAGCTCCTAACAAGTCTAAACCAGAGGCTACCCCACAGAAATCACTGCATACTAGATCAAAGCCAGAAACAGAGCAAGCCAAAGCTCCAACTAAATCACAATCAGAAAGTACCTCACAGACATCACATACGGCTAGTTCAAAACGAGAAACAGAACAACCCCAAGCTCCAACAAAGTCAAAATCAGACAGTACTAGACAGGCAGCACTGTCTTCTACTACAAAGCCAGACGTAAAGCCTCCTAAAGCTTGGAATAAGTCCAAACCAGAGACTACCCAACAGACATCACTGTCTGCTACTTTAAAGACAGAAACAGAGCAAGCCAAAGCATCGACCAAGTCCAAACCAGAGAGTACGAAACGTTCGTCACCACCAAACCACTCCAGTTCAAAACCAGAAATAAGTCAACACAAAGCTTCTGTCAAGTCAAAATCAGAAAGTACCCCACAGCCACCACAGCCTGCTACTTCAAAACTGGGAACAGAGCAAGCCAATGAACCCACCAAGTCCAAATCTGAAAGTACATCACAGACACTACAGCCTGGTAGTTCAAAGCCAGAAACAAAGCAAGCCAAAGCTCCAACCAAGTCCAAATCAGAAAATACACCACAGACACAACAGCTGTCTAGTTCGAAGCCAGAAACAGAGCAAACCAAAGCTCTAACCAAATTAAGATCAGAGTGTACCCCACAAACACCACAGCATGCTACTTCTAAACTGGGAACAAAGCAAGCCAATGAACCAACCAAGTCTAAATTTAAAAGTACATCACAGACACAACAGATGTCTAGATCGAAGCCAGAAACAGAGCAACCCAAAGCTCCAACCAAGTCTAAATCAGAATGTACCTCACAGCCACCACAGCCTGCTAGTAGGCCAGAAACAGAGCAAGCCAAGCTTTCAAATAATGCACAATCAGAGAGTACCATACAGACATCATTACCTGCTAGTACAAAACCAGAGGCAAAGCAAGCCAAAGCCCCTAGCAAGTCCATACCAGAGATTACCCCACATAAATCGCTGCCTGCTAGTTCAAAGCCAGAAACAAAACAAGCCAAAGCTCCTAACAAGTCCAACCCAGATGCCACCCCACAGAAATCAATGCCTACTAGTTCAAAGCCAGAAACAGAGCAAGCCAAATCTCCAACTAAATCACAATCAGAGAGTACCATACAGACATCATTACCTGCTAGTACAAAACCAAAAGCAAAGCAAGCCAAAGCTCCTAACAAGTCTAACCCAGATGCTACCCCACAGAAATCAATGCCTACTAGTTCAAAGCCAGAAACAGAGCAAGCCAAATCTCCAACTAAATCACAATCAGAGAATACCT